TGCTGAACTATTTCCCCTCAGGTAGTCATTCAACAAACAGTCTGTGCCAGAGCTAGAGATTCAAGTGTGAGCCAGGCAGACCCCATCCCTGCCCTCAGGAGCTATATAGAGAAGTGGGGGTGGGCCGAGCAGTAGACACTCAGTGATCGAGGGCTGACCAGGAGACCGAAGACCAGAGAAGGGGACCCCTGGGTGATGTGCAAAGGTTCCTGGAGAAAGTGACGTTTATGTATGGAAGGTCTAGTGAGACCCGAATGATTCCTTCCTGCATTCAACAAAATACTCACGGCTCCGAGCAGATCAGGGGGCATGAGCGTCCATGCTGCGGGGAGACAGACAGCAAGCGGACAACTCAACTGCAGCATAATTTCGCATGGGGAACGACTGTGGGGAGAGTCCAGCAGGGCACGAAGTGGGAGGGGCGCTCTGGCTCGGGGACTGTCTTCGCGAAGGCGGACCAGGCAGGCCACTCCAAGGGAAGCCGAGTTTGGCAGAGAACAGAAAGAAGGAAGAAAGCGGTCCAGGCAGAGGGGACAGCAAGGACAAGCACGCCGGGGCCAGAGCAGCAAGACGGGCCACGTGACTATGACAGAGCGAAGGAGGCCAGCAGCTCGGAGAGGAAGACAGGACCTGTGTCCCAGAGGCCCATGTCCCCGTGTGGGGGTCATTCTAGGTGTAAGGAGAAGCCGAAGAGGGTTTTGACCAGGTGAAAGGGCAAAGGGGAGGGGAGGCGTGATCTGAGATTAACTGTAGGAGGACAGCTGTGGGGAGGACACAAGAAAACCAGCATGGCGGGGACTGCCGTCGAGAGGTGATGGGAGGTGCTGAAGAGTAAGAATTCACCAGACTAAGAGCCGGCCTTGCATCCTCCCAGTAAATCTGCGACTACGAACACCCCACTCGCCCAGGTCAGTGCAGACTTCCACACGCGGCTGGATGGGCGCGTCTGTCACCTGCTTCTGTACAACAGAGAACTCCGAAACCTGAGGACTTAGAGAGATCAATGGAATTAGGAAATCATTTGGCAACCGACACGGTGTTAATAGTTTCGGGCAAGAATCATCGGTAGATGATTGCGGGCAAACTCACAGTTACCTCACCTCAGACTATTTCCCTACGAGATTCTTAATGATTTCAAAAGGGAAAATAGTAACTTTCAGTGGAGAAATCTGGTAGACCCCGCCTTAACCGAGCGGGCACACTGAACATCGCCAGGAATGGGGCAGATCGAATCACGTGCCTCTGACCTCTTTCATGTCCCTGCCAAAACCCAAAATGAGGGACACGCCACCAAAATAACTGGCTAGGTCACCACCATGTCAAGGTCACGAAAGACGAGAAAAGACGGAGAAGCTGTCCCAGATTCAAGGAGACTGACGAGACGTGACGGGGTCGCCACGCGTGGTTGACAGCTGGGTCTGAGACCAGGAAAAGGACATGAGAGGGACGATTGGTAAAGATCTCAGTAAGGCGGGTAGATAAAATCAAAGTCCTATCATCAGTATTAATTTGTTGATTTTGCTTATTGCAGTAGAATTATGTAAAAGAATGTCCTTGTTTTGGGGAAATACACACTAAAGCACTGAGAGGCAAAAAAAAAAAAGTGGCTAACACAACATTTAGTTATCTCTGCAGTTCTGTGAGTGGGCCACACATTTCTCTACTGGTCTGGTCGGGCCTGGTTCGCGCGGCTACATTCGCCGTAGGGGCGTCTGGACAGGAAGGCCGTGCGCACATGGGCATTTGGTGCCGAGTTGGCAGGGCCCTTGGGTCTCCTCCACACGGCCCCTTGTCCTCAAGTCTGGACCAGATTCTGTACAAAGTGGTCTCAGGGCCACGTTCCAAGAGAATGAAAACAAAGCTGCGAGGCGTCCTGAGCGAGCACCATGGCGCCCTTCTCCCCACGTCCTGTGAGACGGAGCAGGTCCAAGGCCGGCCCAGAGTCACAGGTGGGGGAAGGGACTCCCCCCTCCACGGGAACAGGGGTGAAAAGCGTGGCTGTATTTAATCTCCCACAATATGCCCCATCCAGGTACTTGGGAGCAAAGGCACCCTTCTTCAGGCCTCTGTCTGTCGGCCAGGCCTCCTCATGCAGAGCCGGTGTCAGAATTTTCATGTAAAAGGACCCTGGGGAACAGTCCCATTGGAAGAGGGTTGGTTACTGGACTCGTTTCCAAACTGATTACAAAACAAAATTTTCTTTGATTGAGATATAGGTACATGCAGACAAATTCGCCTTTTTTGGCATCCAGTTCTGTGCGTGCTGAGAAATGTGTGCACTTGTGTTCACATCACACGGGCACGCCCTTCCGGTCAGTCCTGCCCCATTCCCAGCCCTCACCCCCCAATACACACACCCACCCCACTCCCACTGCCCCTCCCCCACTCCCCCCGCAACCACCGATCTGTGTTCTGTCCCTGTAGCTTCAGCTTTTCCAGAATGTCATATAAATGGAATCCTACAGCATGAGGCATTTTGATTTTGGCATCCTTCACTTAGAATAAAGCTTTTGAGTGTCTGCCACGTTGTGGCGAGTGTCTGTAGTTTGTGTCTTTTCATTGCTGATGTGCCAGCGTTCATCATCCATTCGCCCACTGAAGGACAGACAGTTAAGTTGTTTCCAGTTTTTGACAGCTATGAATAGAGCTGCTATCAACAGCCATACACAGGTTTTTTGTGTGAATATAAGTGTTCATTTCTGTAAAGAAAATACCTTCGAGTACATAGTAAGTGTATGCTTAACTTTATAAGAAAGCGTCAAACTGCATCTCATTGTGGTTTGAATTTGCATTTTCCTAATGAATGCTGATGGTATCTTTTCATGTGCTAATTTGCCATTCATGTATTTTCTTTGGTGAAATGTCTGCTCAAAATTTTTTGTACGACTTTCAGTGGGTTCTTTGTTTTCTCGTTATTAAGTTTTGAGAGTCCTTTACGTATTCCAGATACGAAGTTTTTGTCAGATACGTGTTTTGCACATTTTTTTCTCCCAATTTGTAGCCTGTCTTTTTATTTTCCTCGCAGTGTCTCTCATGGAGCAGAATTTTAAAAGGCAGTCCAATTTATCAATATGTTCTTTCACAGATGATGATTTTGATGTTGCCTTTAAGAAATCTTTGCCTAACCTAAGGTCAAAAAGATTTTCTCGTGTGTTTTTTTCTTCTAGAAGTTTTATAGTTTTGAGTTGGAATTATAGGTCTCTGATCCATTTTGAGGTGACTTTTTTTTTGGTTTTTTTTCGGTATAAAATGTGAGATATGAGTTGAGGTTCATTTTTCTGCATATGAATGTTCAGTTGTTCTAGTTTTTGAAAACGATGCAGAGCAAATTCACGGGAATTGTGTGTGTGGGGGGGTGGTGTGGGGGTGTGTGTAGTTGGAGGGCAGGAGTGGTCCTAGAAATGACCAATGAGCAGGCTACAGAGCCCCATACTCCCACCTGGGCACCAAGCCTGGGACTTCTAGCCTCCCACGGGCAGTGGGCCACCAGGCAGGCCCCGTCAAAGAGACAAGCCTTTTGTGGACCTTGCCAGGCCTCACTCAAGTGGTTACTGTTTAACACCTTGGGTGAAAATGAGCTTTTCTTATAACCACTGAGAATTTGACTGTTGCTCTAAGCAGGTCGGGTCAGCAGGACCTTTACCGTCAGGGACGTCCCGATGGCCTCTCAGAGCCCCTGCTATTGACAGGAACCTGGTGAGGTTCCCGAAACACCTTTCTGCAGGGCGGAAGAGCATGGCCCAGGAGCATCTTCAGGGGCTGGCAACGGGAGGGCAGGATTTGTTCGAGGCCCCCACATGAGCAGGGAATGTCACGGCCTGCCGGTAGGAGCCCCACTCTCTCCCCTCTCCTTTCTCTGTGGTGGGAGAGCCCACGGGGCTCTGCCTGGTCATGTTTCCCCGCCCCCCACATTCTACTGTGTGGACCAAGCTTTGTCCCACAGCTTGCTTTCGGACGGCAGCTTTCGGATGGCAGAAAACTGGCACCAGCCTGAGTGTCCAAGGACCGATGAAATGAATTCTGGGCTCATTTTCCTAGTGGAATGTTTGTGCGGCTACTTAAGGGGTAAGGCAAAGGTACATGGTGTGCTGGAGAGGCTTTGGGAGAGCCTGTTGGTTATAGGACCCCATGTACTCACACGATGGAGGCATTTTTGTAAATCCCAGATGTTTACGTAAGCACGTGGGTATTTTGTCGTTTACCTTAACCCGTTCAGAGCCAGTTCCTTCCTTCCGTGCCTGCCCTGAACCCCTGCAGCTGTAGTTCAGGGTTTTCATCTTCTTCGGAAGTCCTGCCCTCTCTGCCCACTGGACATTTGTTCAGGTTCACAGCCAAGGAGCCAGGAGCTGGAGGAGGAATGGCTGAGGGGCTGCAGAAAACGAGGAGGCAGGACCAGAAAGAGAAGCAGTGTCCCCCACCCCTGCCCCCTGCAGCAGGCTGCCTGCCGCTGGCCAGGGGTTGGGCAGTGGGGAGGGCGTCCATAGCTCCAGTCACACTCTTGGCTTCTTACTGTCACCAAGGGCACTTGTCTGCAGATGGCTCCTTGGGAACCAATGGATTTAAAATTAATATTAGTCAATTCCAGGAAAATGAAATTTTAGACCAAAAGCCACTGTATAAAACAGATACACGTGGACGTGCTCCCTAGAAGGAGGTGGTAACCTGAGCTCTGCCTATTGGGGACCCCCTTGTCTCCCCACACCTGCACCACCTCCTTGTGGGGCAGCATCGGGGCTGCAAAAGCCCAAAGCAAGTGTGCGGAGGTGGGCAGCTGGTCGGATGGATTCAGGGGTGATGTTCAAAGTATTTATTTAACAACTCAGTGGTCCTGGCTCTGATTAACCCTGGTTGCTGCAACAGAAGGGGGCGTGGGGATTTCTGGCCACGGGCTGGGGCAGCAGAAGCAGTGAGGAGGGGGCACAAGGAGTTTGGGACAGGGCCAATTTACTGCCCAGAATGGAAGCATTTAAAGATTTTTTTAACTGACATGGTTGCATGTCACTCATGGATGGATGGACAAAGAGACAGATAGAAAGATAAAAGGATGGATGGATGGATGGATGGATGGATGGATGGATGGATGGATGGATGGATGGATGGATGCATGGATGGATGTGTGGATGGGTGGATCATGGATGGACGGACGGACGGATGGATGGACGGACGGACGGGTGGATGGATGGACGCGTGGATGGATGGACGCGTGGATGGATGGAGGGATGAAGGGATGGAGGGACGGATGGACGGACGGATGGATGGACGGATGGACGGATGCATGGGTGGACGGATGCATGGATGGATGGATGGATGGGTGGATGGATGAGAGGAGTGACAGGTGCATGTGCGGAAAGGTGGAAGAGTGTGAGGCAGCAGGATGGAGAATGGTGGAAAGCTGGGAGGATGGATGGACAGTGGAAAGGCTGAAGGGAGAAGGGGGGATGGATGGAAGGACGTTTGCACAGAGGTTGGTGGGTTACGAGGACAGCCACTGGTGACGGCCTGCTCTTCGCTCCGGACCCCTGAGAGGAGTGACAGGTGCATGTGCGGAAAGGTGGAAGAGTGTGAGGCAGCAGGATGGAGAATGGTGGAAAGCTGGGAGGATGGATGGACAGTGGAAAGGCTGAAGGGAGAAGGGAGGATGGATGGAAGGACGTTTGCACAGAGGTTGGTGGGTTACGAGGACGGCCACTGGTGACGGCCTGCTCTTCGCTCCGGACGCCTGGTGATGCATGCAGGGAGCTTCCTGGTGCCCTACATCATCATGCTCTTCGTGGAGGGAATGCCGCTCCTGCACCTGGAACTGGCGGTCGGACAGCGCATGCGCCAGGGCAGCATCGGCGCCTGGAGGACCATCAGCCCCTACCTGGGCGGTGTCGGTACGTGGGCGCTCTCCAGTCTTCCCTCACCCGGAGACCCCCATACTGTACTCGGGGTGCGGTTAGGACCAAAGAGCAAGCGCGAGGCCCAGAAGAAAGCCCTTGAATGGAGTGGGCAGATGGCCCAGGAAGGGGCTGCCACAGACTTTGGGCTGAGAGGGGCTGGTTTCCTGCCCCGAGGGCAGCAGCGAGGGAGGGAGGAGGCTCACCCCGGGGATCCTGAGACCACACTGCTCTTCTGTGAAAGGGAAACAGCTGCCTCCGATGGAGCCGTGACTCTGCGTCCTAGCTAACCACCGTTCTGGGAACTGCCTCCTACTAACTATTAATAATGACACCTTTACGTGAGCATCTACTATGTGCCAGGTGCAGCCCCACAATATCTGTGCATGTGCTCATTTACTCTTCTTCACACCACTGAGAGGTTGTGGGGCTGGCATTAATGTCATCAGTGCATGGAAGCCAGGCACACGCGGACAGCAAGGGGGACACTGGCTGACTCACGGTCCTGGCCACCTCCGGGAGATGGTTAACCTGCCTTCGCAACCCTCACATTCCCGGGCAGCCGCCTCTGCCAGCAGGGGCAACAGGCCACACTCTCTTTTGCTCACCCCTCCCGCCCCCAGACAGAAAGGCAGAGTGATGTTTCAGGAGCAAGGAAGGTGTAAACTCGTATATGACTTAATCTCAGATGCAGACAAAGTGTGTCCAGTGGCCTCACAAATCATCTTAAATGGCTATTAATTTTTAACACGGAGGTATGTGGTCTTACCGTCTGCCAGAGTAAGCAATCACAGAGGGCTTCTCCGAGGCAGCATTTGCTGCGAGATCCCAGATGTTAGTGGCAGTCAGGGGGTGGGGAGGTGGCAGTGAATGTTTAACAACCAGCTCTCGAGGCAGGCGCGGGTGGGGGAAGGCCCGGTTCGTAGCATTTGCGATACGGTGGTGTAAAAACTCCCACCGCGGTCAATTTCAAACTACTAACAAGGCGTCCCAGAGCGTGGGGTTGGGCAGAGGTGCCCACGATGGCGGGGGGCGGTGTGAGCTGGCTCCAGAGCACCTGGTTCCGTGCAGGCCTAACCAGGTCACAGGGCAGAGATTCGCCCAAGTGACCTAACTTCAGGTGAGCCAAGGACAGAGCAACCGTAATGTCTGGCAGTGACAAGTGCTTCTCACTAGGTTTAAATCCCAGTTCGGCCACGTCCCGGCCAGAGGTCTTGGGCAAGGCCTGTGCCTCAGCTCTTCCCTCTGGGCAGGGGGTGTGACAACACCCACTTCGCAACATCGCTGTGAGGACCTAAGGCTTATAGAGTACTCAGCACGGCAGCTGGCACTTAGATCTCACGAAAAATGCCATCCTGTCCCAGAACACGGGGAGAGACCTGAGGGGAGAGACTAACCCTTCGCAGGGGCCTGGTGGTCACTTACCCTCCTCACAAGCCTGCCGAAGGAGGCTTTGCTGTCCTGGGGCGGCCACATGGCAGGGCTGTCCCAGGGCTCACTGGATGCGGCCGCCTCCGCCTGGCCCGGGTGGGTGGGGGAGGCCGTGCTCAGAACCCTCTGCCCCGCACAGGCATCGCCAGCGTGGTGGTCTCCTTCTTCCTGTCCATGTACTACAATGTCATCAACGCCTGGGCCTTCTGGTACCTCTTCCATTCTTTCCAGGTGAGCTGGCCGTCCAGAGCAGGGCCTGGTGGGGGATGCGGGGGAGGGGGGTGGACAGAGCAGGGCCCCGTGGGAGACAGGCCGGGTGGGGGCGGGGCAGAGCGGTGCCTCTTGGGGGACAGGTGTGTGGGGGTGCGCTGAGGGCTACAGACTTGGGGGGAGCCAGGAAGCGGTGTGAAGGGCTGCAGGGAGGCCGAGCACCCCAAACCAAGCAGAGGGCTTCTGAACCTGGGATCCGTGGACCCTGCGATGGTGAGCCAGATTGTGCGCATGCGTGTGTGCACGCGCGTGTGCACACGTTTCCGGGGAGCTGGTCCACGGCTCTCATCAGCTCCTCTCTGAAGGATGTGACCTCAAAAATAGTGAGAACCACTGCACGCTGGGCCAGGGGGAGATCCGTGGAGACGGCCGGTGGGGCGGGACTCCACCAACCCAGCAAGACAGTGCCCGCCCCCCTCCTCCTTTCCTATCTCCTCCCTCCCGCCCCCCACCCCCATCACTGGTCCTTCCAGGTTTCTGGCTCCAGGCCGAGCCCCTCCCTTTCCCTGCAGACCAAAAGGTCTTCTGGGAGGACCGTTGTCACCCCTGTAACACAATAGGGGCTATTCTCAAAACTAAACATTTTAAACATGCATAGCATAGCTGAGGCTCGTTGTAGAAAATGTGGAAGGGGCTGAAAACGGTAGCAGAGCGAAAGAACCCTAGTTGCTCACTGGGAGGTAGTCTTCGTTTCCCAGCTGAGAGGAATGTCCCCTCCACTGCTCATGTCCGTTTCTCCTCCTGGATGCCTGCCTCCCACCCTCCGGGACCCCACTGCCCGCTGACCGCCTCCACCTTCCATCTCAGCCTCTTCCCAGATGCGAAGAGAGGGGAGGAGGCAAGAGCTAACTGGGCGGATGTCTCACTGTATGCCACTGAGCCAGGCCTTCATGGGACAGACCCTGTCCCCAAGGTCCTAAAGCAAGGCAAAACTGGCCATGGACTGTGGACTCACCCCAACCAGTCTGGCGCACTTGGGCACAGCCTTGAATCTTGGGGGCTCGGGTGAATGACCTCGATAATCAGGCCTTGGCATCTGCACTCAGAAGGTGCTCCACACCCCGCTTTGGCCACCTGCTCAGCCTGCCCGGGGTTGCCCCACTGGAAAACGCCCTGTGTACATGTCCTGCAGGAAGGACTCTGTCCCGAGCTTCGCTGCAGCCCCTCTCTCTGGCTCAGCCTGGAGTTCCACGAAGACCAGGCACGACCCTGCATCTCTCCGCCTTCTGAGTAGAAACGGGGCAGCTCCCCTTCCTTTCCCGCCTTGCGACCAGTTCCCCGCTCTGTGCAGGACTGGCGTGTCCAGTCGGGCAGAGTGTGCTCTGCACAGCCGCACATCTAGGAGGGTTGCCACGCACTCCGCAGGCGTTATAGATCTGTATACTTATTAGGACAATTTCCCAAAGGTGAGAGCCACGAGTCCTGTTCTAACAAAATCGGAATAATTCGGCCATCTTCCAAAGGTGAAAACAAAGTGTCTCAAGAGAGGAGTCGCCTCTTTCTAACCCTCAGAAGTGTAAGGGCCAGTGGTTTCCTAAAAATCACGGGACTATTCATCGATCCCATTTTTCCCAGGTCGGTGGACTTCCCCCTTAGTCCCTCTGCTTTGGAACCCACCTCTACGGTCCCATAATAATGGCAGGAACAGCAGATATTCACTTACGCTGGCTCCGTTGCTCCAGGCCAGGCATAGTGACAAGTACTTTAGAAGAATTCACTCATGTCATCATCACAGCCCTGTGACTCCGAGTGCTGTGTACCCGAGGCAGATGGGAGCTGAGTGGCAGCCCAGCCAGCCGAAGAGCTGTGTTCTAGTCCACCCCACTGTCAGGCGGGGCTCTCCAGCCTCACATCCGGCCTTTCCCAGGGGGGAG